ATGTAGCCTGAAAGAGATAGGAGGGAAAGGGAGGCTGCTGCTGGCTGCTTCCTGCCTGCCCTGCCATGGACTGTTCCTCTGAAGTACCCCTCTGCCACACCACCCTGTCTTGGAGGCATCTGACAATGGACTGTGAGTTAAAACAAGCCTTTCTCTTTTAATTTATGGCTGTTGAGTATTTAGTCCCAGCAATAAAAGAGTAACTAAGATATTAGTGCATATGTGGCTGTAGAGAGGCTAGATACTGAACATCAGTCATGTTGCTAAGTGTTACAGAATGTGGTTAACCATTATTAAAAGTTTAAGAAAATAATGTGTTAGACTGGGCGTGGTGGCGCACGCCTGTAATCCCAGCACTTGGGAGGCTGTAAACAGGAGGATCACTATGAGTCCAATCTACGCAGTGAAACCCTGTAGACCCTGTCCTGAAAAAAAAAAAAAAAAAAAAAAAAAAAAAAAAAGGGAAGGTAGATAGGTAGGTTTGGATTGCATGATGAGTGCAACAGAACAGAGAAGTAGCACAAAAATCCAGGGCCTTACATGGTTAAAATTTATTAATCCTACAGCGCAGCAGTAAAAGATAAGATTGAGCTCACAGATAATGAACACCAGATAAAACCTTTAGAAGAGTGGCATGCTCTCTGGGAAAGCTACACCAAGGCTGTGACCTCATAAATTCTCTCAAGTGGACAAAATGGCTCAGGGCACAGATCCAATTAATGATGCCACCCTCCACAAAAAGCCAATAGCTTTAAGGGTGCTGCCTTTAAATTGAGAGAGATGTATGGGGTGATACATCAAAGATATATAGTATCCGAGAAAGCTAAGCAAACAAAAAGACCCTGAGGATGCGGTTCTGACCCTTGCTGCTAAAAAATATCAAATGGGGAAGAACTCTACCAATATTTAGAGATACAGTGTCACCCAAGAAGCACCAAGCCCTGATTTCCAGTCCTTCTCCACTTCCTTCTCCTCCAGAGATGCTGAGAAGGTGCCTGGGTGTGTGCACCCTGGGGGAGGCAAGGCTGCCCCGACTCTGGGTTAGCTGGTTACTCTGACTGTACCTGCTAGCACTGTGATGTTCTGTGAACAGGTCCGATCACACCATTCCACAGCTCAGATTTAGATTTACTTGTGTACTAAGGACGATGACACGAATGTGCCCTATGAGATTCCAGAGTGCTGGGGTTGCAGACATGGCCACCAGGCTCAGTTCTTTCTTGTTCCTTTGTGTGCTGATCTCAAGGTGAGGAGGGTAAAGCCCAGCCTGCCCTGCCCAAGGGGCCCATCAGATTGGCACTGCCTGCACCTCCTCTTGCTCCATGCCCACCTTTATGGCTCCAAACACCTCTTCCCATGACACACACACAGGTCCACTGCCCATGCACCTTTCCTATGCTAAGCGATAGGGAGGACAGCATCCCAGATGGACAGCAGCAGATGCGAGCAGGAAGCAGGGATGCTTTTTGTCTCAGTTACTTTTCACTGGTTACTAGGACAAAATACCCAACACCCAAATTTAAGGAAGGAAAGGTTTATTTAGCTCACAGTTTGTGGAGGTTTCTATACTCGGCTGGCTCCAAGGCAGAGTGGCACAGAGCAGAGGGCAGCAGTTCATGGCAGCAGAAAACAGCCAAGAGCAAAGGGAAGGGCAGCAGCTGCACCTTCTAGCCAGCCTCTCCCCTCATTTTATATACAAGCTACCCTGGGCTGGGGGTATAGAACTCACACAGTGTCCATGACCACCTCTTGTACAGGATGAGGATGTTTGCAAAGTAAGAATCCCGGCTGTCTGCTGAGTCACTTAATTAAACCTCTAAACTTCTCAAGTAGACACAATGCATCAACCAGCACACTTGTGCAACAGCAGAGCAGAGCAAAGGGCCAGAGAGCAAACAGCCACGTTCTGTAGCCTCCTGTGTGTTTGTTCCATGTTCTTCCATTTCCTTGGTGTTTCCTGCAATCTTTTTAAAAAGATGCAGAAGTCCGGATGCACTGAGGACGTGTGACAGGCTGGGCCGGGCCTCAGCCACAGCTCACTGACCCTGTGCTGGAAGGCTACAAAGTGACACAAAGGTCAGCCAAATAAATTCTAAGTGGCCTTAAGTTGCAGGCATAGCCACCATGCCCAGTTTTTTTTTGTCCTTTTGTATGCTGACCACAGCACACTAGACCAGTAATGGTGGCCCTTTGGAGCTTTCAGTGATGTGCAGCCTGCTGTGGCGTACAAGCCTTCAGTTCACCACCAAACTAATGACAGTACCCCCTGGGGCAGATTAGCACTTTGTAAATAGCCTCTACGTCTGCTTTGGTGATAATGTGCAGGGGCTGGCAAATGTGGGGGCTACAGAGGAGACCTCAAACTGTCAAACCTATCTCTAACTGGTATGGTCAGAAAAGAAGTCACTGTGATTTGCTAATAGCTGCACAGTTCACGTATCTGTGTGCGGCCGCCACGTGCTGCACATGGCTCACTCTCCACGTGGACGCTGAGGGGTTGGACCCAGGGTACAGCCATTCCTTTTTCAGTGTTTGTCATGGCTTATTTGGCACTGCTTTAGATGATAAACTCAATGTTATGAAGCAGTGTTGTAATGTGCAACTGCAAGCAAAAATTAAGTTTTAAATTTTTTGCTTTAATATTAATATCCATACTCCAAAATAAGAATGCCTGCTGTCACATTTATTTATATGCTTAACAGAAAGATCTGCATCATTACCATCATGCACTTCTGCCTTAACTCTCAACTGCTTCTGTGATAGAGTGAGCCATGCAGGGTGCCAAGGTCACGGTGTCACTGCCCAGCAGCGGCTCCTCTTTAGCACGTGCACATGGTCTTCTCTCTTTCAATAGGCACATGCAACAATGGCTCAAGCTAACTCAGTTCTAAGCATTTTAGTCTCTTTCCTCATCTCTAGGACAAAATATGGAGCACCTAAGTTGGGGAACTTAAGTTGGGGAGTTCTACCTTGGCCACAGTTTGCAGTTTCAGTCTATGGGCAGCTGTTCCATGGCAGGGCACAGGACACAGGGATCTGGCAGAGGAGAGCTGCTCACAGCATGGAGGATAGGAAGTGGAGAAGGGAGGCGCCCAGAAGAGTGAGAACCCTTCCAGGCCACCCCCCAGAACTACCTCCTAAGCCCCCATCATCCAAGTAGCTCCCACAGGCCCCATCTATGATTGTGTGAGACTTTGAGGGACATCTAGATCTAACAATACTAAGTTCAGTAGTGTGGAGGTCACCTTCGGGAGGTGCGCAAGAATTAAAAATGAGATGAACTGTGGCCACAATTAGCAATGAAAACTGCCGTCCCTCGCTGTAATGTAGGTGTTCGTGAAATTTGAAAGCATTTGCTTACACTTGCCATTATAAATCTGTGAGCACAAGCATTCTATAATGCATACCCAGAATGTTCTGATTAAATCACTGAAGTAAATCCACTAAATTCTATCAACTGTAAATATGAAAACTTTTAGTCTCAGCACACGAAATGACTAAAGATCATTCAAAAATCAATCTAAGGGGGGCCGGGGAGATGGCTCAGTAGGATAAGCGCTTGACTGGCAAACACAAGGATCTGAGTTCAATCCCCAGTTCCAGGAAAAAAAAAAAAGGAATCTATGGTAATAATTTATTCTGAAAACATTTACTGTAAATACTTAGCCAAAAATCAATGTAAGGACTGGCAAGATAGCTCAGCAGACTAAGCACCTGCTTAGGCAAGCACAGAGGCCAGGGTTCAATCCCTGGCACCACAGGCTGCACTGGCCCCATCCCTAGACACACTGAGCCAGTGACTGAGTCCAGCATGGTGCTGCCCAGCTGTAATCTCAGGGCTGGGGAGGCTGAAAACAAGAGGATCACTACGAGTTTGAACTGCATTGTGAGACCCTGCACAAAAAAATGTCAACCCAATCTGTTGCCAAATTTTTTACTTTGGGCTGAAGGAAATTCAAGTGCCGTTTTTTGACCCTGTGCACCACCACACCCAGCCCCAGTTTCATTTTTCAGAAAGTCATTTTGTGGATAGACTGTGTGCTTCACAGTTGACAGGAAGCCACGTGGAAACTCCAAAGCAGCATAGATGCAGGGTCACAGAAGGCACCCAGATTGCTGGTGATTCTAGCTCTTTTCCCCAAACAGGCAGCGTAGGGATTGGGCTTTGTGTTGCTGAAAATAAATGAGCTTCATGTTTTAAGTATTAGTATGAAACTAGAACCCTTGCGTAGCTCACACAGTGCCCAGCACATACTGGTGGAACAGTGAGTGACTACAACGCTGTCAAGAGAATCCTGGGAAGGGGAAAAAGAAAAAAATAACTTACAACCCCAGCACCTTCATAGTCGCTGATTTAAACTTTTATATACATATAAAATGGTGACATGTGTATTTATATATACATATATATATATATATTAATATTACATGTGTATACATAAAGACTACATTAAAATGCATACATCTTGTATATCATTTAAAATTTAATATTAGTATGCTAAAGATAGTTTTATATCTGCATTTCTAAAGTTTTATATAAACATTTTCCAAAGTTGCTGTGCAGTTTTAGATTTGCAGTTTTAATGACTGTATAACATACTTTATAATAATTGAGCGGAACCTAATTACTGTTTCTTTTGTCAGTTAGATTGCATGTGAAATTTTGATAGTTTCTTTCTAGTCAAGATCTTTGTGCATGTATTTCTTTTGGATTATTTCATGAAATGATCAGAAGTTAGAATTGTAGGAATTCCTCAGTGTAACTGGCCATCGGTTTGATTAGTGGTTTTTAGTTCCAGAATTATCTGCTTCAAATGTGATTGTCTTTAGAAATCCGTGTGTCTGACTTAATAGTGCGGACAGCTGCTCTCTGCTCGTTTTCCTTCAGCAGATGGCTCAGCCGCGCTCTCTGTAGGCAGGGCTCTGCCCTCCTGCAGTGCCCTGTGGTGTGGCTGGCGGGGCTGCCCTGTCCCCCGTGCTCACCACTCTCACTTTTGCAGCTGTCTGTGGATGTGCGTGAAGAGATGACCAGGAAGGCCATTGCCACCATCACGCACTTGATGGAGAAGCCACGGAAGGGGAATTCAGAAGACAGAAGTCGGGCAGCTGGCACCTCTGAGGTCACGTACGCCTGTGCTCGGGACCACCTGCAGAAGTCGCTCACTCACCTGGGGACACTGGGCCACAGCTTCATCCTCTCTCTGAAGGACAGTGAGCAGGTATGGAGGGGTGCGCCTGTGGCCCTTAGTGGAGTAGGTCCACAGTGCCACTCTGCCAGCTGTGCTTCTCAGACTCTTTCCCCTTTTACGTGGTACTGGGTTCGTGTGGGCCTGGTACATGGGGACAAACGCTGTGTCACTGGGCTACTTGGCCCCACACACAGGTCCTTGTGGGCACTCAGGATTCTAGAGGTAGCGGCAGTTTTGCTGAAGATTTCAGACTTACACAGATTCATGAAAACTGCCTGCAGGCTCTGTCCTTTAATCTCTTTTTTTTTTTTTTTTTGCATTTTT